AGGATCACGCTCTCCCGTGAAGGTCTGCAGCTCGTTCCCAGTTCCATCAGGAGGAAGCTGCAGGTTTTCTGCTAGGTTAAAGAGCCCTCTGCTGTCAGAAACCTCATTCCCACACAGGTAAGGCCAGCCCGAGCTCCAGTGGGATGAGCTCAGACACAAGAGTCTTGGGTTCACGGTGTGAACCACCTGGCAGTCAGTGTTCCCAGGCTTCAGCTCTTCCCTGTTACTCCCTTCTTGAGTCCTTCTAATCCCTGGAGTCCTCCTTAAGTGTAGTATCCTTAGATTTCACACCTTGGGTTCACTATTGTGATACAGGAGAGAAATTTCACCTCCCTTCTTGAGTCCTTCTAATCCCTGGTGTCCTCCTTAAGTGTAGTATCCTTAGATTTCACACCTTGGGTTCACTATTGTGATACAGGAGAGAAATTTCACCTCCCTTCTTGAGTCCTTCTAATCCCTGGTGTCCTCCTTAAGTGTAGTATCCTTAGATTTCACACCTTGGATCCACTATTGTGATGCAGGAGAGAAACTTCACCTCCCTTCTTGGTGAACGCAGGCTGATGCCTCCAAGCGTAACCCATCTCCACACCTGGGGAATTAGGCAAGTAACATTCATTTACTTGGTGACCTCCCAATCCTCCAATTCTTTTCGGAGTCCCTCCAGAATTTCCAGAAACCCAGTCCTCCATCTTGAAAGACCACGGACTACGCTCATGTTCCTGGATGAATGTCTTTCTGCTCTCGCTGCAGCCAAAAATACTGTTTGTAAATGAACACCACACCAACAGATAGGGACTGCTCTGCACATCTCATCTCTGCCCATCGTTTATCACCTTCATTGTTCCCTGGGTCCCCTGAAAGCTTCATCAGTACTGGTTTAATATCTTCTTTCAGATCGTTAATCACCTTACTAATGAGCATTCATTTCAGAACAGCATCCTAGTAGAAATAATTTAATATTCTGGGGTCTCTTTTCCCCCTCATTACTTGAAATCTATCAGTGAACTTAAATTTATAATATTGGCCCTTTTGTTGTTTTAATATTTTTTATTTTTTTTTTAAATCGAGGAATACTCTTGTGTGGCTGAGTAAGTTCCCTTGTGCTGCTGTAACCTTTAACTTTAGGTTGCTGTAGTGCCTTTATTAACCCAACCCATGATTTAATCAGAAAATATTATAGCTGTTGGACACGAACAATTTCAAGAAAGTGAGATTGAGAAAATTATAAAAGCATGTCCATCCATTTTTATTCTTAAATTTATTACATGTTTGATCTCTTGACTTAATGTCAATTTAACTAGTTTACAGCTGTGGATATAATTTCATTTACTGTTTACGAATATAGCCACAAGGTTATTTCCTCAGTATTCTATAATGCTTTCAAAAAGTGCAGTGAAAGGTGCACACAGCTTCAGGGCTCCTGACAAAAACAGTTAAGGACAGAATTCCTGCTAGCTTTAATTTCTCTTATTTTCGTGATAAATTTTCAAACATGGAAAACTGAACGTACAACAGACAAACCCCTTTAATTTTCCATGCTATTTGTGTGTGGCTAATGCACTCCCACCCCCAGGTTATGCCATCCATCTTTCTGCCAGTGTTTCCAGCCTCTTCCCACCTCATTCTGCCCCCCACCCTTCATTGTTCCCCCCCCCTCTCCTTTTAATCCCAACAGGCTCTCCAAGTGTCCTGCTTGCTCCAGAAGTACCACTGAACTGCACTGCTTTGGGGCTCCAACTAGTCCCCTTTGAAGGTGACAGCTGTGGGAGAAGGAGGGAGAACGGCTGGATACAGATAACATGGAGGCACCTCCTGCGCATCGTAAACAAACACTGTTTTGACTTTCACGTTGGGAATGTCCAACCTTCTCTCTCTCCATCCTGCTGCAAGAGCTGTCACAGAAATGTGAGACTCATCCCAGGCCTTCCCTTTGCCCTGATACAGCAGGTGGACCATCATGGAATCATAGAATGGTTTGGGTTGGAAGGGACCTTAAAGCTCATCCAGTTCCAACCTCCCTGCCATGGGCAGGGACACCTCCCCCTAGACCAGGTTGCTCAAAGCCCCATCCAGATCAGTCTTCAACACCTCCAGGGATGGGACTACTATTACTAGGAAATCATTATCAGTTGAAACTGTAACTAATGGGGAAAAAAGCTGGGATTGTTCAGCCTGGAGAAGAGAAGGGTCTGGGGAGACCTTAGAGCAGCCTTCCAATGTCTGAAGGGAGCTACGGGAGAGCTGGGGAGGGACTCTTTGTCAGGAAGTGCAGTGACAGGACAAGGCGTAACAGTTTTAAATCGGAAAAGGGGAGATTTAGATTAGATATCAGGAAGAAATTGTTTCCTGTGAGGGTGGTGAGGCACTGGAACAGGTTGCCCAGAGAAGCTGTGGCTGCCCCGTCCCTGGAGGTGTTCAAGGCCAGGCTGGATGGGGCTTGGAGCAACCTGGTCTGGTGGGAGGTGTCCCTGCCCATGGCAGGGGGGTTGGAACTCGATGATCTTTGAGGTCCCTTCCAACTCTAACCATTCCATGATTCTGTGAAAAGTAACCAGACAAAGTTGGGGTGGTGTAACAGAGGTGGGCTTCCTGGTTGCTCGAGTTCTCTTGTTTTCAGGCAGCTCAGCAGAAGCGGCGCTGGGCACAGAGACTCAGGCATCTACCTACAACAACAGAGAGCTTCTCACAGCTTGTGTGAAGGAAGCTGGAGAGGAGGGAATCATCGGTTGTGTGCACGCACCCTTTTGTTGCCTCCATGCAATTCTCTGCACGCTCTTCCTTTGCATCAGCAACCTACGTCCGTGACCAGTGAGTGAATTTTCATCAAACCAGAGCTCTGGTGAAAGGGAGAGCCCCAAGTGCGACTCAGCAAAAGGCCCCCGCTGGGAGACAGATCCCCTCCCTTCTCCTTGCCTTCACATCCCTGCAAGCCAGCGACTGAAGAGCGCCGCCGTGCCGAGATCAATGCCAGCCTGGAGCAGCGGAGAAGGTTTCTGCAGCAGAAACCTGAGCAGCAGGGGAAGAACCATTTCCAGAACCAGAACCTTGACCAGAGTCAAGGAAGGCTTGGGAAAAAACTCTTCTTTGGGAAAAACCCTCCTGCTCTCTGAAGTCGGAGGTTAACATCAGCCTTGGGGCTAGCAAAGGGGAGACCTGCCCAATACACTTCCCCTATTTACTTTCTGGTTTGTGACCTCTAAAAGTCTCTCCTAGGCTCTTGTCTCTGCTTCCCAGCCTGAACACAAGGTCCCCTCTAATTGAAGCTCTTTTCCATTTCCCTGGACTATCCAAGCGCTGTGGCACCTGGATTAGGTGTGATGATCTTGGACACGAGTGTGCAGCAGTGAGCAAGGCTCAAGCAGCCCAACAAGTGACACCCCCACGCACCACAGAGTGCAAGAGAACACGAGGGCCCCAGATCCATAAGCAAGGAGGCACCTAAAAGAGCACAGAGGCCAAATCCAGACAAAAGAATCTCTCTTTGAGAAAGAGGGACATCTGCTCAAGTGTCATCCCAGGCTGTAGGGAGTCATCCTTGCAACAGCTCATACCACTAACATCCTATTTACCACACTTCCATCTGTTCTCTGTCAAGATTAGGAATTCCACGACCAAGCCAGAATGGATCCTCACATCTTAAAGGTCCACGTTAATCTCCACCACCGCCACCCCACCTCCCTATTCTCTCTCTCAGACACTGCCTCAAAGAATGGTCAGAACTTTGCCACCACTGTCTTGAAGCTGTAAGCACCTTTCTGAGCTCAGTGGGTTCTTCCCTGTATCAAAGTACCGGGTCCCACATCTTGCACCAGCTCAAGACTACCAGAGATGAGGGCTGCTGCTACTCCAGTTCCTTCTCTCAAAGTCTGGCAAACCCAAGATGACCTGTCCACCACCAAACCTCTCCCAAGCCCTGCTTTTTTATGTGTGGCTCCTCCTTTACCCTTGCTCTCTACCCTTACCCTTACCTCTTTACCCTGCCTTGACCATGATGAACTCCAGCAGCTCAGTCCACTCCCAACAGGTCACTGCTTATTCCCCTCCAACACTTACTTCACTGTCTCAACCGAGGTCCCTCACCAGGAACCCTCCGGTGAACCCTCCCGGGTCACTCTCCTGGACGCTGGAGACCTCTCCAACTGCACCTGGATGTGGAGCCATCACCCAAAGAGCAGGACTTGAGGTTTGCTATGGGACAGAACAGCCCAGGGAAGCAGCGACAGAGCCTGCCATCAGCTAAGGTTCTGCCCTCCACTTCCTCGAAGGGTGCAGCACATGTAAACTCTGCCCTGAGCCTTCTGGGGTCAAATTCTGCATCTGGTTTTCTGGGCAAGATAATCAGTCCTGTGAGGTCTCTGTCCCTCTGTTAGTGCCCAGATGTACGTACAGCATGGGGATGAAGAGCAAGATCCCAGCACACCACTTCCAAGTTGTGCATCAATTTTCTGCCTTCTTTTCCAAGTAAGTTGATGAAAAGGTTTAGATAAGAGCACATGCTGGAGCAGGAAACTGGCCCATGAACCCGGGAGATCTTCCCTAGTCCTGTATTCCTAGTGCCTCTTGAGTTTCACCCAATACTGAAGAAGTTAAGAAAAGGTCATTCGTAACAACATCAGGCTCTGTTGCAGAAAAATAATGAGGAAAATAATGGAAATATTCCCTGGCCACGCAGGTGCCCCAGAGGCTCAGTTCAGAGCTACACAGACGACCAGGCAGCAAGAAAGACCAACCCCTCTCCCTTGAGCAGCAAAACTACAGTAATTAAAGGGTATTTTTGCAAACAGTGGGTTCTTGGGTCTTCTTTCACAATTTCATTGTTGAGCATTATCTCACTTTGTAACTATATAGGAAGGCTATAAGGGTATTTTCTATAAGAAAATAAAGCCTTTCAATTAAACACCAAGTTTCCCCTCAGCAATTACCCAAGGATATGAAAGAAGTTACTTAATTCTGTGGCAGGTACAACTAGGTTAGCTGAAGGTAAAGACCGATCCAACAACTCTTTACAGTTTGTTTCTTTATTCAGTAAACATCTAGTTACAAGTTTCACAAATTAAAAAAGTGGGGGAGCTGATTGAAGAGGGGTCGGGGGAGAGGAGGGGGGGCCCACAGGCTGATCCAGCTTTTGTTCTGCTCCTCCCTTCTCTAACGCACACACCCTTCTGCTTCTCCACAGCTGCAACCAAGGAGCAGGAAGGGAATTAGAAGCCCCTGTCCCGGTGAGGGGACGGGCACGGGGGTTCTAGCAGAATTCCCTCACATTTCTTTCACAGGGGACTAAACACAAAACTTCAGAACCAGCCCAACCCAGCACAGAAAGAGCGGAAAGGATGGAAGAGGCAAGGTGGCAGCTCCTCATGCCCACCACTACTGGCAGAAAGAACAGAACCGAGGGAGAGCAGGAGGGGAACGGGCAATTAACGTGTTCCTCACACATCGGTGAGATTCCCCACGCCCTACCGCAGCACCCAAACGGGGCAAAAAAAAAGAGCAATGCAGAAGATTAGTTGCTTTGTTTCAATTCTTAAAGTGGGAGGGAGGTTAATACTAAATTTGAGGAAGGTCCAAGTGGTGCTTTGAAGGGGCTTCAGAGTTTCACTGTCTGTACCTGGGAGGAAGGGAAACGGAGAACATAAAAAGAGTAAGTGGTGACTGGAAGGCAGCACAGAAGACAGATAAAGACACGATGTCTAGACATTAAAAAAAAAAAAAAGGGGAAAAAAGTCCCTTTTCAAGCACTAGATCACATCCTAGTGAACCCTATTGAAAACACAGGAGAGCAGACACCAGCACTTAACTTATATTTCAAACTGGATTGACAGCAAATGGTCCCCAAGTTCTATACAATGACAGTATAAACACTCCACAGATTGTGATCCTACATCATTTCATACCATTCCAACCATCAGTTAAGGCTGACACCAGACGTTTTTGGCTGATGACAAAGCTAACTTAAACAGCTTCCCCGTTCCCATTCACAACACTATTTTCTCAAAATTCTCATCTTCCCCGCTCCCTAGATTAAGTTGGGAAAACCCATTTCCAACCAACACTTCAAAATAATGTAAGATAGAGGCAATGAAAAAAAATATAATCGTATGGCTAAGAGGCAACCGCGCGGCGGAAGGTGCGGAGAAAAGCTCGTTGAAGACTTACAAGAGCGTGTAGGTAGATTTGGGGGTGGCCACGCTGCACCCCCCACAAGGTCTGCTCTGGGTTCACCAGTCATACCGACGGGACTGTCTGGAGGGAGAATCCTCAGGGCCCTGGATGGCGAGACGAGTCCCCTCAGCCCGACGGCCGCCGCTGCCCTCGTGGCGTCGGTAATCCAGCGCCCGCTGCGGCCGGAAACGAGATGTCTCTCGCCTCCACTCGTCATCGAAGGCGGCTGCGTCGCCTGCATTAAGGAAAGAGAACAAGCTCAGGATGGGGAGGAGGTGGGGTTTGCTGGGAGGAGGAGGAGGAGGACACGGGCAGCACTCACTTTCATCCATGTTGATGTAGTCCTGCCTCTCCTCCTGGTCGCCCGTGCGATGGTTGCGGGATCGCTGCATGATGTGGGCCCGCTCCCTGATGTGGTGCCCGATGGACATCTGTTCCAAGCCGCTGTCCGAGTCCCTGACGGTCCGTCTGGTCTCACGGATCTGAGGGGAGATACCCCCTGTGGGATGGAGGTTTCCATCCCTCCTCCCAAGCCCCAGCAGGCACTCTCGATCCCTGCCTGCAGCGTTTCAGTCACGTTGCACCCGCCGCCACTCCCAGGATGTCAGACGCGACATAATGAAGAGGGATAAATGGATTCCCCCCCATCCCCTCCCAGAGGCCTTCAGTGAGTCACAACACATTCCTCAAACTACAACCCACTGCGAAGCACAAGTGCTGTGGGTGGCCAACGCTGAGCCACCGAATGAATGAAGTCTGTCCACCCACAGCAGAACCACCAGCCTCCTGCTGGCAACAGGCACTGCGGCCCCCTCCTTACCCCGCCAGGCGCCGAACGCATCTCTGAGGTCTCCTGATAGACTTTGGGTCCATCACCCAGGTTGGAATAGGAGATGACAGTTGAGGAGGTAAAGGTCTGGCAGTTAGCACCACTTGTCATATGCTCCTGCAACAAGAAATGGGGGATGGTATAAAGAACAGGAGGGAAGAAGAGTTGGCAGGTAATTTTCTCTCTATACAACAAAGTAGGAAAAAATTACAACAGGAAGAATAGAATCTCCATGGGTCCATCCTTCTGGAGAATACGTCTTCCCCATGAATTAATTCTTGTTTCTTGCTAAACAAGTCTACCCCCCCACTTCCTTTCTCACCCATCTCTCCCCCCAGCGCTCAAGAGGGTTCGCCTCAGGAACAAGCTCTCTACCACCAAATCCTGGTCATGAAGCAAGGCTTACAGCCTCTGCCACCGTGGCAGCTTGAGCACAAACCAGACCAAAGAAGCACAGTGAGATCTGAGACCCTAGAGGGCACGGCTGGAGCACCCTCAGTAACCCCCTGATACAGACTGGCTTATGGAGGGTTCTTACCATGTTTCCAATCATGTCGTTCATCATCCCAAACATATCTATAAAGCCACCTGCCTGATGAAAAGGAAAAGAGAACAAAAGCATGGTCAGTTTGGAAAGATAGTTTGCTGTTCTTCTCCCCCTCTATCTGTAAGAGACAAAAAACTGCTGCCTAAGAAGAAAAAAACTTGTTATTTTCCCTTTCTTTCAGTAGAGCAGCAACATCCCACGATTTGGGGTTGCTGTTCTCTCAGGTTGCACTGCCCTGGTGTTCTGGCTCTCCAGATCTCTGGATACGGCAAAGGTTGTTCTTTTAGTTTGGCTCTGGTTCCCGATGCACTGAGGTTTGTGAGTCCAGGCACTCGGCAAAGTGGAGAGAAGAAATCTCAGGTATGCACTTACAGTGTTCTTAACTATGAGACAGTCATCCTCGATGACGTTTTCAGCTCATCACCGTCAGCTCTTAATTTAAACCACAGCAAAGTTTCCACTGATTGTACTCTTTCTAACATAATAACAAGTTTTCTTATTTTCCCTGCAAACACCTGACTTTTTAATCTGTAAACCTAAAGGCTGCAGTTATACACTAGGCCAGCAGGTCTCACAGGTTAATTGTGCAATACGTAAACAAAATTACTATGTCAGTTTAAACTTGCTGATTTTTTTTGTTTCCTCAAGTAGCCTCTTGTTCTGGTTTTCGGCAGAGCAGTACTCACACGCCAATGTTATTATCCTTTGAAGTCTATCTGCTTGTATTCTTATTAATCCTCCTCTGAGCTACAACAATTCAGGGACGCCAAGTCCCTTTCACTGAGGCAATCCTGCAGAGCAAGGCGGCTAAAGTTGCTGGATCTGGGATATAACCTATTTCCACTGTATTATTTTAGTAGATGAGGGAGATCAGCCCGCTGTTCCCACATACGCACAGTCATTCTCATTCCAGTCCTGTTCACCTGAACTATTTTGTTGGCTTTTCCACCCGACACCGTTGGCAAGAGAGGTTCAATAATTGTCTCTGCCTACTGATGGCTAAGTTGTCACAGGTCCTCCATTACTTCCAAACAGATCCACAGCTTCTTTTCAGACATATGAGGTTATTATCTGCTCTTCCTGGATATTAACTGTCCCAACTCCTGTGAAATATTGTGCTGTAACAGCTTTAGGGCTCCTCTCTCTCTTTGGAGAGCTGGGCAGAGAGAAACCTGATGAACTTCAGTAAAGGCAAGTGTAGGGTGCTGCACCTGGGGAGAAATAACCCCCTGCACCAGTACGGGTTGGGGGCTGACTTGCTGGAGAACACCTCTGAGGAGAAAGACCTGGGAGTCCTGGTGGACAACAGGATGTCCATGAGCCAGCAATGTGCCCTTGTGGGCAAGAAGGCCAATGGCATCCTGGGGGGCATCAGGAAGAGTGTGACCAGCAGGTCGAGGAAGGTCATCCTGCCCCTCTGCTCTGCCCTGGTGAGGCCCCATCTGGAGCACTGTGTCCAGTTCTGGGCTCCCCAGTTCAAGAAGGACAGGGAACTGCTGGAGAGGGTACAGCAGAGGGCTACAAAGATGATTAGGGACCTGGAGCACCTCCCTTACGAGGAGAGGCTGAGGGACTTGGCCTTTTTAGTCTGGAGAAGAGAAGGCTGAGGGGGGATCTGATCAGTGCTTATAAATACTTAAAGGGAAGGTGTCAAGAGGACGGGGCCAGTCTTTTTTCAGTGGTGCCCAGGGATAGGACAAGAGGAAATGGGCACAAACTTGAACATAAGAAGTTCCATCTAAACATGAGGAGGAACTTCTTTACTTTGAGGGTGGCAGAGCCCTGGAAGAGGCTGCCCAGGGAGGTGGTGGAGTCTCCTTCTCTGGAGATACTCAAAACCCGCCTGGACAGGTTCCCATGCAACCTGCTCTAGGTTGGAGTAGATGGTGTCCACAGGTCCCTTCCAATCCCATGTGATTCTGTGATCTGTGATCTCTGGGCAAGGTACAAATATAACCTCCCCGCATAAGCAGTGTTCGAATCCCTCCTCTAAAGCAACTCATAGACCAGATTAAAACATCGCAGTGGAAACAAGAGAAAGGCCTGAAGTCATATAGCAACCCCACGAGAGAGGTTCAAGAGGAAACTGCTGCCTCCAGTTTCAGTTCAATACCCCCTCCTGTACTCTGATTACTATAAATCTAGAGCTCGTTCTGCTCTCTTCACATCTTCCCACCCTCCCTGCCTGTTAGGACAGATAGGTGGTCTTGCTCACAGATGGCTACATTTTAGCACCGGTTGCACAGAGCGCTGATGAATCGCAGTATGAAGCTACTATTTAGAAAGCCTCTAATTTGACCCAGAAAAAACAGAGAACTTACCATGCCGAGCATCCCAAAGGGTGAAACAGCTCCTGCCTGCCAGGACAACAGAAAAACAGAACAGAAAATGACCTTGCAACAGCCAAACACCAGATTCTCCTCAGAACACCCTCGTCCTTCTCAGAAAGAGAATTGGGAACACTCAGGCCCAACAGGCAATTCAAGAAAGTACCCCACAGCATCATGGCAGTTCAAACCATACCCACTCCTAACAAACCAGACAGAACGTGATGCTCCTTAATTTCTCCCAGTTATATTGATTTATGGCCTTGAAAAGTAACACGTATCCCTTCCCTTCCTCCCATTCAACTTACGACACAGTGGTGTTCAATTTATCAATGCACGTGGAGTGAAGAAAAGGACAAGCAAGGCACTGTTTTAGAGATTAATTCTGTGCTCACCACTCCACGTGAAGGCGAGGGACGTGCCCAACCCAGTGATGGTGGAGGACAGGAGTGAGCGAGACAGTTTAAGCAATCCCACCCTGTCCCCAGCCCCGCTCTCACCTGCATCCTACGTCCAGCCTGGCGAGCCCCAGGTGTGGTCCCATCCGTGATGCCAAGGAGGGGGCCAAAGCCAAAACTTCCAGAAAGCATGCGGTTCATGTGCTGCCGGTGGATGGCAAAAGGGTCCCTTTGGGAAAGGTTGAGAGAACAACGTTGAGGAAGGGATGACAGAAGACAAAGCCCCGCACAATCCACCCGTTCTGACTTTGAGTTTCTCTTATGTAACCGGACATTCCTTTCCAAGCTGAAAAATCCAGAATCTCAAGAACCCAGTGTTGCTTATGGTGATCCTTGGGGCTGGAAGGGACCTCTGGATCCCATCTTATTTCTTGTAATAGAAGGTATTACACCGCAGAACTCCTCTCAGGCACTAACTGATGTCTGTTCAGAAGTAGTTCAGGGTCCTGCTCCCACTAACGCTTTAGGGCTGAGCACGGCCAAGGCCATTCCAGAACCTCACTGCTCTAACAGAGGAAAGCCTCTCCTCAGATACGCAGTTCAGGTGCCACCATCACTTCATACTCATTTTCTCTTGTGCCATCAAAACCCTTTACGTTAACAGCTTTGCGAAACAATCAAACCCTTCTAGATGAGCAGTTCTTCATTCTGCAGGGAGGTGCACTAAGATCCTCCTGGCTGCAAAGAGAGGACTACACTTAATGGGACCGGAGAGCACGCGATCCTAGATAATTGCCCTCTCACCCCTCCACAGACACACACACAAACTCAAATCCAAGACCGAAACCTCCAGAATAGACTGTATGGCCTGACACTGTGTGACGTCCCTCTGCCCCAAGTAATCTTCATCTGCTATTTTTCTACAATTTTATGTGTACACCTGTCAAGAGGGTGAGACCCCGTTCAGCTTTTGCAGATTTGAGAGGAAAGGGCAACAATAACTGGGGTCCCTAACTGGCTTTCCTTCCCTTCCTTCTTTTGCAGCCTTCACATTGAGGGCTCTACGCACTCACACATACTGGAAGAACAAGGAGAGAGTAAGGAGAATAAGGACAAATGGTCACAGAATATAGTGGCCACAGTTAAAAAAGTCTGGGAAATACCACAGGATTTCTCTACACAGTGTAGAGTCTGCACTTATCCCTCATGAGCGTTAATAACCCCAACAACACAAAATATTCCTGAGATCACAAAAGCACCTACCTACCAACCAATACTTTCCTGTCTCTACTGGAAATGCTTCCCATAATAAAAGGTAGACTCATACCTGCCACATCAAGAGGACACAGTCATTCTGTGACTAACTAGCACATCACGGGCTCCTCTCCTGGTAGTTTGGTTAGAGACAATAAGATTCTTGCTTGTTACTGATTTTATAAGCAAAAAACAGGCTTTATTCTCCTACACAAATTAATTCCCCCCAATTTCTAGTAGTGCCATGCTTAACATAATCAAATCCTTACTGTATTACAGTCTATTCCTTATCTGCTTTGGCAAGGGCTACCAATTTAGTTTCACTGCCAAAATTTATCAATAGCATCCAATTCCTGGACTGCGGACAGAATCAAAAACATTCAGTAAAAGGAATCCCAAGAAGAGTTCTTGGGACCTGCGTTAAGATTTCAAGACTCGTATTTCAAAACTACTTGTTGTCTTCCCTTTACTTAGTTCCTTCCAACTTGACAACTGCTTTAGCAGCCTTCTCCAGCTCCATTAACGATTTCCTGTGCAGAACAGCAACAAACACTGGAGGGAACAGCAGATTTTATCTACCCGAACCGAAATCCGCCTTTGCATCAGGGAAAAAAAAAAATAAAATAAAAAAACCTTACGCAAAGAGAAAAATTATGCATTCCAGCCCTCTCCTCCTCAGGCAGCTGCAATGCCTTTTGGCCTACTTTATTTAATGACGCTTCCCTCCAAGCCCAGGTTCTATTACAGGAATGGGACCAACGCGAACCAGGTTATTCCCTGCGCTGCCCCTTCTCGGTGTTTGCCCCCAGACAGGGGCTGGCGCTGCGGTGCTTCCCCGCAGCCCACAGGGCCCTCCGCCCGCCCGGAGGGGGTAGGGCTCACCCGGTGTGACCCCCCCCGAGATGATCGGTGCCATCCCACCCCCCCTCCCAAGGGGCTGCCCAGCCAGACTCACATGGCAAACATGGGGTCCTCCGGCTCGCCATCCCTCATCAGCCGGAACATGCTTCCCTCGGTCGGGGGCGGCCTCTGCGGAGGGGAGAGGAGGGGTGAGGCCGGCGGAGGGGCGGGGGAAGGGATAAACAGCCGAACCGCCCCCCCCCGCTCCTCCCGCATCGCCCCATCCCGGGGCGGGCGATGGCAGCGCTCCTCCCGCCGCGCCCTAGGCCGC